AGAAGAAAAACAAAAACTGAACAACAAAGAGATGTATTGATGTTGCCTAGAAGACTCACTAGTTACCTATCATTTCTTTGTAGCTGAAAAGCATGGTGTAGCTTGTGGTGTTTATTAGGATGTTTATTAGGTAAACTGCATGACAGGGACCCTCTTTAATGAATTTGGAAGCAGGGACAATCTGGGAGATTCAGCCTATGGAGGAGGAGAGTGCTTGGAAGGAGAATCAGCAAGGAAGATATTCATTACGTAAGGATCTATTGGTGATGGGTGAGAGATTATGATCAGAGAGGTGAAGAGCAACAGTGAAATTGCTCTGATGGTCTATGGAAGAAGAGGGAGAAATGAGATTCAACCTAGATGGAAGTATTGAGCAATAGAGTGACTCTGGGGGGGGGGGTGTCCACACATGCATGCAGTTGCCTTCAAGTCAATGTTGACTCCTGGTGACTCCCTGTACAAGTCCATGCAATTTGCTTGGCAAGATTTCAGATGTGGTTTGCCCTTGCCTTCTTCCTAGGGCTGAGGTCCAGTCTAGCAAAAAGAAGGACTACATGGTGACATGATAGCAGTGTTCCAATATTTGAGGGACTGCCACAAAGAGGTCAACCTATTTTCCAAAGCAACAGAAGGCAAGACAAGAAACAATGGATGGAAACTAATCAGCAAGAGAAGCAACCTAGAAATTTCTTAACAGTGAGAACAATTAACTAGTGGAACAGGTTGCCTTCAGAAGTTGTGGGTGCTCCATCACTGGAGGCTTTAAAGAAGTGACTGGACAGTTACTTGTCTTGAATGGTATTGTCAAGGTTGAATTGCTAAGATGCTTGCTAACCTCTGCCACTACTCAACTTGCCATAGAAACAGAGAGGGAGGGAAAGCCTGAGAAAGAAGTGGGAGTTTCAAGAAGCCGTCCATGGACCATGAGACCCAAGGTCATCAAAAGCAGGTGTCTGGCAGAGAAGTGGACTGTTCCCATAACAATCAGAAAGGATGTGATTGGGCAATGTGAACACATGGTGTGTGGGGGTTATGAAAAGCCATTGTTAAGTAACCAGAATTTCATGTGGGAAAACTAGAGTTGATTTTGCTTCTTCAGGGGCAGTATGTAAGATTATTTCTTATGGCACTTCAAGACCGTAGAGTTTCTTCAATGTTGGATTCACTAGCTGGACAGTTGACAGGTATATGGTCTTCTGCTTGAGCAGGGAGTTGGACTAGAAGACTTCCAAGTTCCCTTCCATCTCTGTTATTCTGCTGAATGACCAGCTTTGTGTCTAAGGTGGGACTGGAATTCACTATCTCCTAGTTTCCAGCCTGATGATTTAACCTCTACACAACCTTGCTCTCATTTAGTAGGTACTATGTCTTTTAGACCAAGGCTTTTCAACCAGTGGTACGGGTACCACCTGTGGTACATTGGCACCTGGCAGGTGGTACACGACCATCCTAGAAAAGTGGTAGCAGGGGAGGGGAATGAGCTGAATCAGTGGCAGCACCGCACAAGCCTGAGTGAGAGACGGCTAGAGCTCCAGGGCTGTAGGGCTCAGCGGAAGCGCCAGGATCATTGCTGCTTTCCAGCTGATTGGCACTTCTTCGGGGCTGTCAGGGCTCAACGGAAGCGCCAGGATCAGCGCCAAGCTCCAGCTAGAACTCGGTGCTGATCCTGGTGCTTCTGCTGAGCCCAGAAGAAGCACCAACAGCTGGAATGTTGCAGCATCTCCAGGGTCTTGTGATTTACATTCAGATGCTTGGCAACTGATTCATATTTATGACGGTCACAGTATCCCAGAGTCATGTGAAGTGACCAAAACCTGCTGCAACCGGCCAGCAGACAGGGGGAATATAAACCAAACACCCCCCACCCCACCCTCACTGCCAATCCCCAACAGAAATGCTCACAACAATAAAAACCTCGGACAGGAGGAAGAGCGCCACCAGGCAGGCAGGCAGGCAGGTGTCTTACTCGGCTGTGGCTTGGGGGGCACCTTTTTGTAACTTCAGACAGTTATAAGTTGAGGACTACCTGTACTTCATCACTTTTTTTCCTTTTGGGGGGGGGTCATCAAGTTTTTGATACCTTGCTAGGCAACTGGTGGTACTCAGATGCTGCCATATCCTAAAATTGGTACAATGTGTAAAAAGGTTGAAAAGCCCTGTTTTAGACTACCAACCTGCAGCAAGCAGAGAACTTTCATCGATTTTTAAGAGCTTTGCTGGTGGAATAACCACTGTTCCTATCAATCTTAAACTAATTTTCTGTTGACCTGTTTGCATTCATGTAATATTAGAAGAACATCCAACCATCTATTCACAGCCATGAAGATGGCTTTTTATTTCCCAAACTCAAAACAAACCTCTACCTTAAGATGGTTGATAGAAGAAAAATTGGTGCATTTACACACTGCACTAAGCTGTAAACTATGGTTTGGTATCCACAGTGACTGGGTTCATACAACAGGCTACTGCCATTGTTAATCATCAATGGTAATACTGGTCATTGCAAATAGACCATTAAAGATGAAAGGAAGTTTTTTTTACCTCCTTCTGCTGAAACAGGTATATAAACGGGTACATAAAACACTGAACAAGAATATGAAGTTGCAGATCAAAGATTGGACAATATTGAACAATATTTACATTTCAATGAATAGTGACCAAAGAATCTTGATAAGGTTTAGAATTCTTGTCAAACTGCATCCTGTAAATATTTCAAGTCAACATAGCCAGCAGAATTTAGCATCTTAGTTTCTGCTAGGATGAATTATCATCAAGAAGGGCAGAATTTATCATCAGATTGAAGATAGGAAGAAGCAGCTTCTTAAAGCTTTGAACTCTTTCAAAGCAAGGACCAAATTAAACTTTCCTACTCTTCAGAAAGCACAACATAAATGTTCTAAAGATCATAAAAGGAGAAAAAAGAGCCACAATTACCCTTGAAGTAGTTTCATACTGGAAGATAAAAAAATACAAAAAAAAAATTATACCATTCACTGTCTTTAGTTTGTCACCACCTTCTCATTAAATACCTAACAGTGTAGGTATGAACAACAAAACTTTTAGATCTGTTGTAATTGTAATCATGAGCCAAATTTACAAGCAAGAAGTCGATAAGAATCACAGCCCAAAATGTTTATCACACTACAATAGATCTGTGTATCTCAAGCAATTTAAAGCAAAATTCAGCTCAGCAATCAGCACAGGAATGACTAATGTAGCATCAGAAACCCAAGAATATAATCTCAGAGCAAGATAATTGCCTGAATGTTTTTATAACTTGGGTCTTTTGGTTGCCCTGCTTTCTAAACATGATAAAGGGAAATACCAAACTTTTATGCAAAAGTTGAAAACACAGATTACTGTATAAACTATACTGGGAGAAATAGTTGGTTATCTTGCACTTCAGTGTATCACAGGCAGTTTGTACCCTGGACAGTGGTCATCAGCCATTGTCCTAGCATGCTGTGCAACCTGCCATACAATTTTGTCATATGAACACAACACCTCTAAGTTAACCTTAGAAAAAGTAGCAGTAACTTCCACATTGCTCTCTTTGAAGTTAATGAGAGAAGAAGATATAAAAAAAAGGAGCATCTTGGGGTCTAAAAACTGAAACTGGTTCCATATTAATTCAAGAGTACATTAATCTTTCACAAAAGTCAATACCAGGTAGACTTTCCAATTGAGGACTTCAGTCATTGCATTTATTCTCCTCCCCCATTCTCCTGGGCATATTTACTTCTCTCTCCACCTCCCACCCCACTCCTGCAGTCAACTGTGACTATTGATCACAAGATAGTCAATTTTACATTGTTTATGGGGCAGATGGTTATATACCACTACAGCTTACAACCATAGTTGTAACCAGAATATCCATTGTTAAGCAGAGTGTTAGAAGTCCTTGCCACACCCCTGGCTCCAACAAGAAACAAGTCATTGAATTCACAGATGGCTGGCTTTAATCACAGAACATTCTGGCATGCGTTTAGTCACAGAAACAGCAAACAAAGTTATGCTGGAAGCAATCGCCTCCCAGCGCCTTACATATGTGTTTCCCAACTGGGTCCCACCCCCCCCCCACCTAACCAGCATCTGATGTGCGAGTTAATAAGAGCAGCCAGGCAGGACGCACTGCAGGCTCCCGGCTCCGTGTAGCTTCCCTATGCCGACCAGCTGTTTGCACTGCAGGCTTCTGGTGTCCTGGTGCTTCCCTGTGCCAAACAGCTGTTCGGCGGGCCGCTGTGGAGCCAATCAGCTGTTCAGTGGGACAACCACGGACGGACACACCGCCTTGCTCTGCCAGGTTCCCCTTTGATAGTCCAGGTAACGGGGGAGGAAAGGGTTGTCACTGTTGGTTGTCGCTGGCCTCCTCCACTGTATTTGGATGCCCCCAGGTGCTGTCCTTGTCCCCCTCCCCCCTCCCATCAGTGTCGAGCCTACAGAGGCTTGACAGGCGGCCCCCTCTACCAGGGCTCCACCTGGAAGGCAAGGAGAAACATGTGATTAATCATGAGCTGTGGTAGATGATGCAGCCACACACACACACCCCGGCTTATGGGGACACCGTCAGTGGAAGAGCCGCAACAACCGGGGGGGGGATTTTATGTCCGCTTCCCCCACCCAGGATGCACCCGTCATCATACCAGGTAGTGTAAACAATTGTTAAAGTGAATCATGCCCAATTTTATGATCTTTTTTTTTTTGTATGTTTGTTAAGCAAATCACTGCAGTTAAATGAATCACAGTCATTAAGCACATCCAGTTTCTCTCATTGGCTTGCTGGTCAGAAAGCATGTTGAGATGGTTGTATCAGGTTTTGTATCATTTTTTTCAGTGCCATTTAACTTTGAACAGTTGCTAAATGAATGGTTGTAAAGCAAGGACTTCCTCTGCTAGCAGGCTCACTGGGTAGATTTAGCTATCAAGCAGTGGCACTTGCAGTCGGAATGCCAGAAATAAAAGAAAGGATATGAGGGAGAAAAAAACCACATATTCAAGAGTTTGATATTTCAATTATGTTTTAATTGAGTCTTTTTGTGTACAGTACATTGGCTTCTGAGACCCAGATTAAACCTACTGACTTGTTTTCTGTTGGTTCTGTGTGGATTTTAATTTATATTTCTTGAAATATTGATCAGTTATTCAATAAAATGTGCAGGTTCTTATTTTTTCTCAATAAAAGTTGAATTCCTCCAACCCCATTTGAGGAAAAGATAGACCATTCATGACTCTGTAATAATAATGTATTGCAAGGCAATCTGATTGCATTCCTAAATAGAAGTTGAAAATTCGAGGAATTGTAAGGATATGATTGGAAGAAATTAGTCACAAATGAAGTATTTTAATTGGAACAAAATTACAGTATTTATACTGGTATCTCACTTCTACAGTGGTTGTAAAATCAGAAACCAGACTTGGTATCAACATATTTTCTTAATGTTTCAACAAATACAAGTTTTCTTCAAAGTCAAATTACTTTGGAATCAGTTCACTCATTTAACTGCTATTCTAAAATATGCAGTGCTGCAAATTGTTACTCAATGAAACAACAACATTCATTGAATGTTTCTTGGTGGGAAAGGTTTTCACAAGCCTCCGTATATATATAAATAGGGAAAGTGTGGTTACAAGGATGCAATAACTCCAACATTCTAAATCTGATACAGAATGTTTGTTCACTAAAAAACTGCACTCAGAAATGAGAACACATACCCAGGAAAAGGAATACTGTATGCTTTATATTCTTTAAATATTAATTTAAAAGCAGAGTATGCTGAAGATTGATAAATAATTCACTTTGTAAGAGTCGGGTGAGCATAACAAATAAACATTTAGAATACTCCAATTCTACTTTATTGGTACACATTTCATATCTACTCTTCGAACAGAACACAGAATTCAAAGAATTCATTAAGTAAATAGTTTACTCAGTAGAACGCTTAATTAAAAGGGGCAGCAGAAGAAGCTAAAAAAGCAGTTCAGCCCAATTCTAACCAAAATTTGATCACTTCTATATTTATTTACATATAGTGTTATTGCTTGGATCAGGTCCCATCTAGATTGAAACAATGGCTCCAGAAATGGCTTTGGGACAGCTCCATTTACTTTATTAGCTGTACAGTAAGATTACTCTTCACTGGGAATTTGCTAACCACTTGCATCAGATATAGTCATGTTGACTTTATTGGAATTTAACCTCTGTGTACGTACATGTTTGTGTGTTCATACAACCATACATACACAAGTTTTATAATCAGTGACCTGCCCTTCAAAGAAGGGATCCAAGCTACTTCATAGGTACTTGACTATTGCAGTAATAGTCGATCCAGATGACATCAATATTTCAATTTGCTCCTAAGGTGTAAATGGAGCTATGGAGGAATACAAAACCATCTTCTTCATAAATCAATATAAACACTGAAGACTTGCACTGCATCAACAAAACTTTCATACGTTTAAAATGTAGTGCATATTTTTTCTTGGTTGAAATCGTAACTTAATATGAACAGCACTTCAATGAATATCTGAATCATCCAAGCCTTTTGTCACATTTCCTCATGCAAAGTCATCTACATTAGGAAATGGAAGCTCACTTTTGCCCCCTCTGTATGAAATTTTGCTCTAGGCCATTTTTTCCTACATATTTAAAATCAATTGCAATTGCCATCTATATTCCAATTAACCAGGTATTATGCTAGATTGTATGAAGTCACTGCATAAACCTAGAAGTGGCCAATGAATTCCATGACTCAGAATTTTCTGACAGTCATATTTTAGTTTTTATAAATATATCAATAATTACACTGGTCAACAAGAAGAAAGTCTTGAAAATGAAAGTAGCTAAATTTTACCAGAATTGGGTCACTAATAAAGGAAAATTAAGTCCTGAGTATTAATTGGCTCCTGTTTCCAAGATATGCCTTCAGGTTAAAATTGGATCAAAATAATTCAAAATTACGAGGATGTGAGATTATGCTCCATAACCTTTCTACAAAATGTGATATAGCAATGAGAATGGTGCCACACCAATCATCATAAATTTATCTTTTTATTGATATCAGTAACATAACTTCCCGTTCATTTATTGTTTCTTTCATGTAACATTTTCATACTTTTTCACTCTGCAAGAGGTTCCACTGTTGTAATCTGGACCCAAAAGCTCTGCCTTACTCTTAGGCAATTCCAAATCCCTGATCAGGTCATTTAATTCACTCTGTGAAATTAGAAATGGTTCAGGAAGAGCATATGATGGGCTAAAGTTCGGATCCGCTGACATAGACAGCCCCGGATCAGCTGCATCCTGCTCATCATCTTTATCATCATCTGAGTCTAGAGAGTAGGATTCTGGTGGATCTGGAATTAGCAAATCCTCACCATGGAGAACAGAACATAGTGTGGATGGAATGTATGGATATTCCAGGGTCCACTTCTTCTTTCTTGAGATCCCTTTTGCAACTGGGGGAACCATGCAAAAATAGCAGTTGCTACTATGATTGGTGGGTTCCCTCCACACCATTGGGACTGCGAAAGGCATGGACTGTTTCTTCTTATTTAGCCAATGATGCAGATAAGCTACACATGTAATGCAACAATAATGAGGGGCCCAATTCTTGTCCTGATCCCCTATTTTGCAACCAAAATATAGGTGATATGTCTTTTTTTTACCACTGCCATCATACTGCATTTTTTAGATGCAAATGTCACCTTACCACAACTGTAGCAGAAGATATCTGCATTGTTTACACAGTTTCAAGGCATCTTGGCTTCTGAGAGAAAATATCACGCAACTTGTTCCTTGGAAATGTTAGGCAATGACACTTTCACAAGCCTTTACCTTTATCACCTGTTTTCTAATTTATCTAATCAAAATATGTAAGAATTAACACATTTTATCTTGGAGGTCGATAATTTCCCAAAATCTGTAGACCAGTGTTATATTATTGATATGCTACTGTATAGGTAAAGCCCAAATGGAAGGCAAGATGCACATTTTTTGGATAACATAGAACCCATATAAGAATCTGTCCCACAACGATTTGCCCTTTGGCATTTTTTTCTCTGATGTTTAGAGTTACAGTTCAGTGGAACATTACCAGACTAAGAAAGGGACATACTAACAACAGAAGATGATGGTTTTTTTCTTATTTTACCTAGCAGTAATTCAAATTGAATATTTTAAAATGTGTGATTGGTATAAAAAAACCCCCAGTGTTACACATCTACCTTGTAAGTCTTTCACTATTCCTCCAAATATTAGAAATGCAGATTTTTATTATTATTTTATTTTATTATTTTATTATTTATTATTATTTTTATCATTATCATATGTTAGTGAAGATTGTTCAGTATCCCAGAGTCATTGCACTGATAAGACTTCTAAATTAAATATATGAATTATTCAGATTTCTTCAGGGATTTTGGCACAATCACCAAGTTCTGTATAATAAGATCCCTGAGAACTGTTTAAATTAGCAGTATTTCCTCTCAACTGATACAGCTAGGCTTAAGAGTTCAAACCCATAGGAAAAGTTCAAGCCAGTTTCTTCTTATTCTCAGCATTCTGTACAGCGATGATGAAATCCAAAATAAGTTTTGCTGTTTTTCTGGGTCGTTCCACGACTATACTGTGCCCGCAATTTTCCAGAACATGAACTTGCGCATCAGGGATTGCTTTTGCTAAAATGTCTGCTCCTGAAACATCGAGCAACTAGAGAGAAAAAGATAAACCAAGAAAAAATGATCCCCATGTTGGCCATCCCTGAATTCAGCAAGATACTCCGAGCTACTTCAGCATCAAATTTGGCTCACAAAGGAACCAATTTGACTGCACAAGGAAACAACTAGGACAAAAATTGTTTTAAAAAAGTCACAATTTTCACATTTCTTTTCATAAATGGAATTCCGTAAGGGAGAATATTTGTAGCTCAAGGTTGAAATGAAGGGTCCTTGGTGATCTCTGAGTTGGTGGTTTTCTTGCAGACATTTCATTACCCAAACTAGGTACAGTAGTGGCCAAAATTGTGGAAACCTTTTGGGAAAAGTGTACAGTAGAAATGTCACCTTTGGTTAAGTTTCCACCAATTTTTCTTCTAATTTCTTTATCACTATTGCCTTGTTCACTTAATAATTCTATTTTAAATCATTTTCTGGGTGACCAGTCAACTCTTTACACCATTACTTTAATTTTATTATGTTTTACAAGCTCACTAAATGAAAGAACATAAAAAAACCCAACCAACTTGATAGCGATCACATAGCACACCGAAAAATGTCCTCCTCTCAGCTTCAATACATGACATCAATAACTGAATCCTACTGTGATCTGATTGGCTCATTGCCAAAACAAGATGACACCTGATTGGCTCTCTAAACACTCATGCTCACTGGCTACAATCAGATGAAGGAAAGCTACCTGATATCAACCTAAGCAAGTTGTGCTTCCTTTTTCTGGTTATTTGGCTACAACGTTTCATAGAATACAGTACAGATAATTGAACAAACTTTGTTGCATTACATTCTTGATTAAATTATATTTCCAATGATATATAATTTTATGGTACTACTCCAAAATAAAAGGGGGTGTTATTAGCCATCAAACCTCAAAAATACACTTTTCCCAAAAGATTTCCACAATTTTGGCCACTACTGTAACATCATCAGGGCTAGTCTAGCACTGATGTTTACCTACTGTGGATAATGAAATGTCTGCAAGAAAATCACCAAGCTCAGAGATCACCAAGGACCCCCTCATAAAAGGAACTGTTGCTATATCATGGCAACAACTGATATATAAAGTATCTCATTCTCATGGCTCAGAAACACCATACGCCAGGGGTAGGCAACCCAAAACACTCAAAGAGCCACTTGGACCCGTTTCCCACCAAAAACAAAACACCGGGAGCCACAAAACCCTTTTGATATCTAAAATGAAGATAACACTGCATATATCCTTTTTTACCTTTATTATAGGTGTGTGTGTGTGTGTGTGTGTGTGTATGTATATGTGTATATATATATATGTATGTGTATGTATGTATGTGTGTGTATATGTATGTATGTGTGTGTGTGTGTATATATATATATGTTTTCTGAGGTTTTCGCGGGTATTTGTTTGTAGGTCTTTGGTTGTTCGGGTTTTCTCCCGCGTAAAATTGGAAGTGTCTTGGCGACGTTTCGACGAAGTCCCATTCGTCATCTTCAGGCTGGTGTTTTCAGCTTCGTGCTTTGACCATAGAGTTTGGGGCATCTGGATGATTTCTCTCTGGGAATGATTCTTTGCTGATGATCCCACCACCTACCTGGAAAAAACCACCAGATCCAAAATAAAAGCCTCCCCCATTAGCGAAGAGATCCAGCAAAGAATCATTCCCAGAGAGAAATCATCCAGATGCCCCAAACTCTATGGTCTCCCCAAGATACACAAAGAAGGAACCCCACTCAGACCTATAGTCAGCTCCATAGGCTCACCTCTACAAAACCTAGCCAAATTTCTCGCCAAACAATTACAGCCCTATGCAGAATCCATCACCTCACACGTAAAAAACTCATTCCAGTTTATAGAGATCATAAAGAAACAAAACTTACAGCCCAGCGACCTACTAGTGAGCTTCGATGTCATATCCCTCTTCACCCAAGTGCCTATCAAAGAAGCCTTGACAGCTATTCAAAACAAATATAACCCCCCCAAACACATCTTAGATCTGACCAACCACTGCCTATCCAACACATACTTCATCTATAATGGACAAAAATACAAACAAACAGAAGGAGCACCCATGGGATCACCCCTCTCACCTGTCATTGCCAACCTCTACATGGAACACTTTGAAACCCAAGCTCTAGAAAAATCGGATCACAAACCCAAACTCTGGCTCAGATACGTAGACGACACCTTCATAATCTGGCCACATGGGAAAGAAAAACTGGACAACTTCCTCACACACCTCAACAGCCTACACCCCAAAATACAGTTCACCATGGAAACAGAAGCTAACAACCAACTTCCCTTCCTGGATGTCTTAGTCTACAAGAAATCCAATGGCTCCCTAGGACACACCATCTACCAGAAGAAAACACACACAAACCGCTATCTGCACGCTCTCTCACACCACCACCCAACACAGATCAACTCTGTAGCCAAGACACTCATCTCCAGAACAAAACGCTTAGCTGACGAACAACACCTAAAACCCGAACTACACACTCTCACCAATGTACTAACATCCAATGGATTCCATAGAAATAAGATTACAAACCTAATCCAAAAAGAAACCCCCACTAAAATCCAAGACAAAGAACAAGAAAACGGCAAAGCCCTCCTCCCATACATAAAAGGCACCACAGACAGAATCAGTAAGATCCTCCATAAACACAACATCAAAACAGCATTCTGCACAAACAGAAAAATATCCACCATCCTTAGAAACCCCAAAGATAAAATTGAATTAGAAAATCAAGGAGTATACGAAATCCCATGCACCACTTGTCCCACCACATACATCGGACAAACCAACAGAAGAATAAGTGCACGCATTGAAGAACATAAGAACTCAGTCAAAAAAGAGGAACCAACATCTTCCCTGGTCCAACACCTTAAAGCCACAGGACATGAAATTGACTTTAAAAATACCAGAACCATTGCCAAAAGTGAACATTTTAATAACAGAATAATCAGAGAAGCCATCGAGATAGAAAAACGCCCACACAGCATGAACAAGCGAGATGATACCTCCCGCCTACCAGCCATTTGGAAACCCGCCCTTATTGACAAACGACTCCCTAACACAAAAAATGATACCAGACCCACACTCACAAAAACCACACAGGAGGTCACCACCACACATCCACGCAAAAAACAAACCCAAAGCCACACCGATGACGAGGCACGACCACAAACCAGAAGCCAGACCACAGCTGCATCATTAGCCACTTTAAACCCCTCCAATCCATACATGAAGCAAACTGACACCCTCCATGAAGAGGAAGCACGACCACGAACGCGAAGCCAAAAAATAGCAAGGCAGCCCAAAATCTCAAACCCCTCTGCAACTCAGACTAACCTGAGCACAACCAAACAGAACACTCCCCCAGCCAATCAGAGCACAGCCAAGCCCCTAACCATTCAGAACACACCTCCACCCAATCAGAACACAGCCAAGCTCCCACCCAATCAGTTCATACCCCCACTGGCAGTTAAAAGGAAGAAACAGCTAAGACCACACATTGCTGCTCAAAGCACAAGCTGAAAACACCAGCCTGAAGATGACGAATGGGACTTCGTCGAAACGTCGCCAAGACACTTCCAATTTTACGCGGGAGAAAACCTGAACAACCAAAGACCTACATACATATATATATATATATATATATATATATATATATATATATATATATATATATATATATTCAAAAGATAAAAAGGAGCACCAGGAGGTAAAACAATTAAAAGTTTAATAAATAAATAACCTAGCTTTCGATGGCTATATTGCTGCCATCATCGTCAGGGTGTTAAAAGCCAGAGGGTGGGGGAGCTCGTTTATAGGCACAAACGCGCCTGCACACGGCTCATAGACCTCGTTATGGGGCCCGGTCATTGATCCTCTCATCACTCATGTCAGAAGTGTTTCTGAGTTCTAAGTTCTTGCAGCTGATTACTTCTCTGTTGCGTGCGGCTCCTAGGCTGGGAGGCGAGCATTCCATGTCACTACGCACTAGAGTAACATGTGTAACTGCAGACCATCCTGCGATGAAATCCCAGATCTGGCTATCTTCCTCCCCCGTGTCTGACGTATCACTCTCAGGGGGCATGCCACCCCATGCGTGCTCCCATCTTCCCCTATAGCCCCCAACCCGCCGCCCTTCCGTGCGTGGGATGCACAGCAGTTCGTTGCGATCTCCGTTCCTGTCAGTTTGGCGTCCGATTCAACTCTCCCTTCGGAGGAAATTCCAACTGCGGTCTTCGCGCGTGCGCCCTCACGTTTCCACCGTACTACTTGGGAACGCGTGATGGGACCCTTAATGGGGCGGTTGCAGTCAGTAGGTCGGACGCAATATCGAGGAGAGGGAGGGGGAAGGGGAGGAGTGTTCGGGGCATCCAGGGCACTAGGGGTGGGTTGCTGTTGTCAACGAATTCTTCATTCATCAATGGGTGCGCGCAGGAATTGCTAATAGCCGGGGGCACTCCGGATGGTAGGATCGTCCTTACCTCGTTGTCTATCTCTTCGTTGGAACAATTGAGATTGCAAACAGTGGGGTGCTTCCTCCGTCTGGAACAAATGCGTGCCTCCCAAGTTTTCATGACCTGGTGTGCAGGATGTAACTCCACACATCGATTAATAGAGTTACAGTCTGAGAACCAAGCCTCTTTGAGGAGTCTGCCACTCTTGGAGGCATCACTAGCAATAACCTGCACCCCATTGAAATCAAACTTGTGTCCAAGCTCTACCATGTGAGTGAGGATTTGTGAATAGTGCTCCCCTCTTTTTATTGCCAGCTTGTGTTCCTGTATTCTTGTCCTTACTCTTTTAGAGGTTTCTCCCACGTAATTACCTGGGCAATCTATACAATGGATTCTATAGATCACCCCAGATTTCTCAGTAACGGGGAGTGGATCTTTCAACCTCATGATACAGGAACGCAATGTGCAGTCCGGTCTATGTGCCACCTTATTCCATAGGGTGACAATAGCCTAGCCGTGGCTTCAGAAACGTTACTGACATAGGGGAGAGTAATACGTGTAGTCTGTGGAAGTAGCTCCCCAATAGGTGGGTTATGGGGAGGTCTGGATAGAGCACTGTGGCGCCTGATAAATTTATTGGGGTATCCATTACGTCTACAGGCGTGGAACAGGTATTTCCTTTCTTCAGCCTTAGCTTTGGCCGTGCTACAGTGTGAGTCAGCTCTTTTAAACAGGGTTCTAATACAGCTGACCTTGTGGGCCACCGGATGGTTGCTGTTAAAATGCAAAATCCTATCAGTGTGCGTGGGCTTGCGGTAGACCCTAGTAGCAAGGGTCCCATCAGGCTGGCGATGGACCAAAACGTCAAGGAACGCCAGCCTGCCTTGATGTTCCTCCTCCTCCTCCGTAAACTGCAAGTCCACACACACCGAATTAAGTATGCCCACAAAGTCAGCCTTCCAACTCTTTTTGATGACAACAAAGGTGTCATCAACGTAGCGGGCCCAGAATTTGGGACAATACTGAGCCATCGCTACTTGTTCTATCCACTGCAATACAGCCTCGGCAATAACGCTGGAAATGGGTGACCCCATGGGAGTACCCTTTATTTGCTCATAGGTGTTACCCTGAAACGTGAAGTAGGTCTTGAGGCATAAGCCCAAAAGGTCCACAAGATCTTCCGGGCGAAGGGAATCCTGGTGTTGTCCTAAACCCCTGCGACTCAAAAGATCTTTAACGGTCGCAAGGGCTAGGTCCTGTGAGATAGAGGTGAAGAGGGAGACGACATCAAAAGATACCATCACCTCGTCATCTTCTATCCTTAAGGACCTAATCTTGTCCAGGAATTCCTCTGCCGATCTTACCACTGTCTGGCTATCAGCGACCAAGTGGCCGATACGAAGACTCAGCCACTTAGCCAAACCAGACATGGGGGTACCCCTAAAAGATACTATGGGGCGGAGGGGAACCCCTTCCTTGTGCACTTTGGGTAGCCCATAGAATCTAGCCACCGCCGTGTCGCTAGGGCGTATCCTCAAAAGGGTTATGTCATCTAATCTTCTACCTCGTTTCAGGGCGTTGAGCGTCTTATTGACTCGATTTTTAAGGGTCACCATGGGGTCCCCACTCACAATCCTGTAGGCCGTAGTGTCCTCAAGCAACCCCGACGCCTTACTGATGTAATGTGCTCTATCCATGACAACCGTAGCTCTCCCCTTGTCAGCTGGCAATATGAGGGTTGCATCATCCTTCTTGAGCTGGGCAAGAGCTTCCAACTCATTCCTCGATAGAGCTTGGTGGGGTCGATGATTCATAAGTAATCCCACTACATGGTGCCTGATGTCATCTCCAACCTCCTCCATACCAACACGGTGTAACGTTGGTTCTAGCGCCGCCATAAAATCCAACGCGCGAGCGTCCGTTAAGTTGTGTCCCACATCCCATTGTAAAAGGGAAAGTTGGGAGTGGGTAAGTGTCTTACTAGAGAGGTTATGTACAAGGTTCTCAGAGGGAATAGTGTTCTTACGTAATTCTCGTAATCCCTCAATCTTATCCTGGAGTCTATTTGTAGCACGCAATCTTGTGTTGTTAAAAACCAGCTGAATATGGTGGTTTAATGCAGCAAAATGCTGGTCTTTGAACCTAGTACGGCACAGTTCGCGATGATCCTTAGCACATCTGATGAAGCCACCAGTACGTCTGTGTACAGACTACACGTATTACTCTCCCCTATGTCAGTAACGTTTCTGAAGCCACGGCTAGGCTATTGTCACCCTATGGAATAAGGGTGGCACATAGACCGGACTGCACATTGCGTTCCTGTATCATGAGGTTGAAAGATCCACTCCCCGTTACTGAGAAATCTGGGGTGATCTATAGAATCCATTGTATAGATTGCCCAGGTAATTACGTGGGAGAAACCTCTAAAAGAGTAAGGACAAGAATACAGGAACACAAGCTGGCAATAAAAAGAGGGGAGCACTATTCACAAATCCTCACTCACATGGTAGAGCTTGGACACAAGTTTGATTTCAATGGGGTGCAGGTTATTGCTAGTGATGCCTCCAAGAGCGGCAGACTCCTCAAAGAGGCTTGGTTCTCAGACTGTAACTCTATTAATCGATGTGTGGAGTTACATCCTGCACACCAGGTCATGAAAACTTGGGAGGCACGCATTTGTTCCAGACGGAGGAAGCACCCCACTGTTTGCAATCTCAATTGTTCCAACGAAGAGATAGACAACGAGGTAAGGACGATCCTACCATCCGGAGTGCCCCCGGCTATTAGCAATTCCTGCGCGCACCCATTGATGAATGAAGAATTCGTTGACAACAGCAACCCACCCCTAGTGCCCTGGATGCCCCGAACACTCCTCCCCTTCCCCCTCCCTCTCCTCGATATTGCGTCCGACCTACTGACTGCAACCGCCCCATTAAGGGTCCCATCACGCGTTCCCAAGTAGTACGGTGGAAACGTGAGGGCGCACGCGCGAAGACCGCAGTTGGAATTTCCTCCGAAGGGAGAGTTGAATCGGACGCCAAACTGACAGGAACGGAGATCGCAACGAACTGCTGTGCATCCCACGCACGGAAGGGCGGCGGGTTGGGGGCTATAGGGGAAGATGGGAGCACGCATGGGGTGGCATGCCCCCTGAGAGTGATACGTCAGACACGGGGGAGGAAGATAGCCAGATCTGGGATTTCATCGCAGGATTGGTCTGCAGTTACACATGTTACTCTAGTGCGTAGTGACATGGAATGCTCGCCTCCCAGCCTAGGAGCCGCACGCAACAGAGAAGTAATCAGCTGCAAGAACTTAGAACTCAGAAACACTTCTGACATGAGTGATGAGAGGATCAATCGACCGGGCCCCATAACGAGGTCTATGAGCCGTGTGCAGGCGCGTTTGTGCCTATAAACGAGCTCCCCCACCCTCTGGCTTTTAACACCCTGACGATGATGGCAGCAATATAGCCATCGAAAGCTAGGTTATTTATTTATTAAACTTTTAATTGTTTTACCTCCTGGTGCTCGTTTTTATATTTTGAATATATATATATACATACATACATACACATACATACATACATATACACACACATACATACATACACATACATATATATATATACACATATACATACACACACACACACACACACACACCTATAATAAAGGTAAAAAAGGATATATGCAGTGTTATCTTCATTTTAGATATCAAAAGGGTTTTGTGGCTCCCGGTGTTTTGTTTTTGGTGGGAAACGGGTCCAAGTGGCTCTTTGAGTGTTTTGGGTTGCCTACCCCTGGCCTATGGTGTTTCTGAGCCATGAGAATGAGATACTTTATATATCAGTTGTTGCCATGATATAGCAACAGTTCCTTTTATGAGGGGGTCCTTGGTGATCTCTGAGCTTGGTGATTTTCTTGCAGACATTTCATTATTCACAGTAGGTAAACATCAGTGCTAGACTAGTTACAGTAGTGGCCAAAATTGTGGAAATCTTTTGGGAAAAGTGTATTTTTGAGGTTTGATAGCTAATAACACCCCCTTTTATTTTGGAGTAGTACCATAAAATTATATATCATTGGAAATATAATTTAATCAAGAATGTAATGCAACAAAGTTTGTTCAATTATCTGTACTGAGTCAGCCTAGCTGGGCTAGCTAGCTCTCGCCTGCCCTTCCTGCTTCCTGCAGAGAGCAGCAAAGGGAGGAGCTCCACCCACTAAGCTTCTCAGCTCCTCGGAGAACATTGTGAGTGCACTCTCTTTTTTACACACACACACACACACACGCACACACACACACGCACACACAGAGAGAGAGAGAGAGAGAGAGAGAGAGAGAGAGAGAGAGAGAGAGAGAAGCAGGGAAGCACAATTGCCTCTGTCTCTGTCTCTCTCTGCAAAGGCAGAGGAGGCTGGGAGCCACAGGGGAAGGCTCAAAGAGCCGCATGCGGCTCCGGAGCCGCAGGTTGCCGACCTGTGCCATAGGCTGTTGGAGATTGTCCATGCTTGTTACAGTTTGAGACGACTGGCAGAAGAAACACATGGGCTCTATGTGAGAGTAGAGATTTTAAAGAAAGGCTGCTGGAGACTATGGCTATGTACTATTATATACTTAGAGCCATTTTCATTCAGGCTCATCCAGCGCTTCCTTCAGTTTCCTTCACATAAAATTATTTCCTCATTTGCCATCATTTCCTACTTTTTTCCTGTCCTCTCATTTCCTTCCCAAAGTCACATTTGTTAGTTATTCTCTCTCCTTTAGTAACTCTACTGCTGTAATATAATCTTCATTGTAACGAGAGCCCAACTTTTTTTTTTTCTGAGGCAATGCTATGTGGAGAAACTAACGTGGCCTGCCATCCGCTTACATGATCACTTGGAGACAATATCTGCTCTTGGAAGACAGTAAGCTCATCTGGGGAACTGCTGATCTGGAGCAGATAAGGTTCCTTACACAGAGAGAGAGAGAGAGTTCTCACTAGTAGGAAAACAAAATTAAAAAGACTTAAGATGGAGGGAAGGAGGGGTGATATGATGGTCACAATGGAGGTATGGTGTGTTTTTAACCAGCATGTTTGATGGGTTTCCCTTGATATACCAGTTATATTTGATGCTTTGTCAGGTATTTTTTTTCTATTTTATTGTTTTTAATCTGTAAAGCCATCCACAATTGTTTTGAGGTATGGCAGCATAGAAATGTGAAAATGTGGCAAATAATATCCTGGAAAAAGGGAGAGAAACTGCAAACCTACTGTATGAATTTTCATGCCACAAATTTCATGAACTCCAATCTGAAGTCATGGAACCAGGCTATATAATTGTAAAACTGCTCCATCTTCTAAAGTAAAATGGATTGCAACATGTTACTCAATACCATACAATTGGGACATGCATTATGTATTTCACAATTGAATGAGGCAACATTATACTGAAGAACAGACTAGTACAGTCTGGTCTTGGTTAAAAACCTTACAGAAAAACTGATATACCTGATCTTGCTTCCCCCAGATAATCTGTGTTGCAGCTTTGATCTTGCTCATGTTGTCATAAAGGCAGGTCGCTTTCTTTTCATCTATTAGTTCTAAAAACACTTTACAGAGGAGAAAAAGAAGTGAGGGGGAGAGAAGCAAATCAGTCCATCCAAAGCAATGAGGCATTCCAATTATGCTGAAACAGACTTCAAGATCTTCACCCAGAAAGAAAATAATGGCAACAGACTGTTGTCAATGAGGCAATAGAAGCAAGGAAAATAATTACTGAGGTTAGCAGGAGGAGAGACTGCACAGGCAGGGAGACACAAAAGCTTTTTCAGACAATTTTCTGGCTGGCTTCACAAGGCATACTTAACAAGGTCAGTTGAGGAAACAACAGTGCCAAGGAGAGGAGGGTCCCTCAGCATATGATTTGATACACTGGGCAAATCCAGAGAAGTTGCTAATTCAGGAACCAGGCTAAGAGGGTTAGGGAACAAATCCAGCCATTCACTCACTGATTAATTCTGGTGCAGCAAAATTACATTTCCTTGGAAAACAAACACAGACGGAACATTTTTTTGCCTGTGGTTACAACCCAAACCATTGTTCCCATGGCCATTTCTCCATCTTCTCACAGTCTCAGGTATTCGCCCTTAGCTACACATCATGCATTTCTATACCAATCAAAATGCAAGAGGTAGGAATTGAAATGGCATGTAAAAAGACTCTGCATCATTTACAAAGTTTTTAACTTTAACCAAAATCCCTCAAAATGAGAGATTCACTCAAAGCTAGAACCAAATTTCAGTGAAGAAAGGAAGCACACAAACAATTTGTTAGCAGAGGCTTCAGAAATCAAATGAACTAAAACACCCACTTCAGATTTCTTCTGCCCAGTTCCCCAAAGCTAAAGGCCTCTGTTTGGCGATTGTTTTGTTATGCAGCTTCCATCCAATGTTACTGGATTCTAGTCCTTTAAATATGCCAAGTTTATTTTTTTAAAAAACCCCAAAATAGTTTATAAATTAAACTGTTTTAATTTTTGTCAATATTGGTCATAGCACAATCTACCACACAGGATTGTTGCTGCAGGGGAAAAAATAGCACTATGTATGCCACTTTGATCTCATGTACAAAAAATAGGATATAAGTCAAATAACACTTAACCTTGTTTTGGCATTGTTTCATTAATGAAAAACAAGCAAAATTTTTCTTTCTGGATGAAGATAAATAAATGGTCCAAGTGTCCTCAGTCAGCAGCATCAGCAGAATCTGATGAGTTCATTAAAATGACAAAATGCAAATCCAGCCCATGATGTCATGTACAAAAGGGGCGAAGCAATTTTCCCTTCTGGAACCCCTCTGTAGATGCTGCTGTTTTCAGTTCAAATCAAAGAGAAAATTAGTGCAAGGCACTTACATTTTCGGTAAAAATCATTATGTGGGATCCGAACGTCAACAAGGCCCTGCAGGATCTATGAATATATAAAGATGGTATTAAAAAATAAAGCCAGGGCACACCGTTCCCTCTTTTTAAAAAAGGTCATGTTATTCATTTATTCATTTCTCAGAGCTTGCTGGGAATGGCAATCAGACTCTTGAACACCCCAGTTTGCCTTCTCTGTGGTAAATAACTAAATTAAGATATAAACTATTGTCTTCTTCTTCTTCTTGTGCCATATCGGACATTGGCGATCATGTTGGCGATCTTGTTTTTATCAGCAGCCACACAAAAAAGTGCTCCTGAGTTTTGTCCAAACCAGTCCCTTAAATTTTGAAGCCACAATGTTCTTCTTCTGCCTCTAAATAAACTATTTAGAGACTTATAACAACAAAAGGCTGAGGCAAGAAAATGTGGGAAATAGAGGCCTACTGTATTAACTAGAGAAAATTTAACTAAGAGTTTCACATGCCTGGTAATTAAAAAATGAAAATGTATCTTCCATGAAGGAAAACTAAGATAGCTAAGAACAAGAAAAGCGAATCAAGGCTACATCCATTTTAAAAAATCATCCTTTCATCTTGATTTAATATATTTTTTTTATAATTTGTGGATCTTGCGTAACTCATGTATTTAAGTCAGGGTTGCCCTTATAGTGCCCCAACTTTTAAATGTTTGCATAGTTCCATTTCTTTTATTTTTATTCTTTTTTCTTTTTAAAAATTATCCCTCCAACATAGCACGTAGCAGTACTTTTCTTTCTAATGCCTGTATGGCTTCTAAATGTTCAGGACATTAGAATCAGTTAGAACAGACATGTCAAACTTGTGACATCACGTGACATCGCGCAAAGCATCGGAGCTTTTTCCCTATTGCTGGCAATGGGGTGGGCGAGGTTTCATCGTGACACATCCGGCCCAAGGGCTGGCAGTTTGACACCCCTGAGTTAGAAGAAAAACAAAATGCCTCTCACAAGTTGCCACGGGTAGCTTGCAAACTTAGTTCCTGCAATTTCTAGTTAGAATTGGCAAAGACTTTCCTGTGTGAGCTGGAAAATTTTTAAATGGAGTCTGTCTCCATTTAAAGCAGCTTCTTATAACCCTCATTCTGTTCCTCATATGTGTTATTATCCAATGAGGAGCAGCCCAAGCTTTTAGTATCTTTTGTCAAACCTTTGCCTTACAGTTTAATGATGAAAGTTCCATCACTCTCATGGAATTTGATATTGTAGCTGAAAGTTCCTAAACTAGAAATCTGAATAGAAGGCTCAGAAAGGTATGCTATTCCCAAGCCTGATGACATAGAAATCATACAATAAACCCTCAAAGGTATTCACTGCATATTGCTGAAGTAAGTGACAAAAACAGGGTTACAAGTGGTCCTCAGGTTATGTACATTCATTCAGCAACCATTCAACGTTACAATGGGGCTGAACAAAAGGGAATCCATGAAATTCCAGCCACCGTAGCAACCCCACAATCACAGGATCACAATCTACACACTCAGTAGTCAACTCACTATTACAGCATTGCAGTCAGCCATGACCATGTGACTGTGATTGCCAACTTTCCCAGCATCAATGGGGAAGCTGGCAGGAAGTTGTAAGTTGCAATCATGTGAGGTTCTTAATGAACCAGATGGTCCTCATTTAATGATGGAAATTTCTAGTTACTAAACATAAATAGCCACAACTTTAGTCTTAAATTCAAAAATATAAACTTTCTTTCATATTAAAAAATAATTCAATGCTCTTTGCAACTTCTAATCCATGTCATATTGAGATGTTGTTTTTTATTGTTTTTATATTGAGTTTTTATTTTTGTAAGTTGCCCAGAGTCTCTGAGTGGGCGACCATACAAATTTTCTTAAATAAATAAATAATATAAGCAAGTCTATGTCCGAACATATATGGATACACTTAACATTGATATAAATTTGCTATTTGACAGGTTTAATTTACTTTAATCTCAGGGTTAACAGTTTTCAGATCCGATTGAATAGATACCACTGCACTTAATTTTCATTGGTCTCTACATTGTATTATTTGTAGTCAACAATAAAACAACCAATTTGAGGGGAAATTCTACTTAAAGATATTTTCCTATGATGCCACTTGCTTACCTGATGGGGCACCTTGAAGCGAACATAAGAGCACAGTTTTAGCATGTCTCTCATTTCTTCCACAGTGGATGGAACCAAAGGAATCTGAGCAGAACAGTCCTTCCTCAATTCTATCACCTGTTTTGAAAAATCGTTTTTTGGGAGCTGTGGAATACCTGTAATGACAGGAGAAGAAGCATTGTGTGCTAAGATCACAAAGCAGTAGATTTTCTCAAAACCCTGCCAGAGAAAATTTTATTTAGAAATAAAGAAAATAAAAACTGGGGAAAATGAAGAAAAGGAAGTGCTAACAAGACCTGACCTAAGGATTTAGTTGGCAATTCAGTTAAGTGCATGGAATTAAAAATTCAATTAAAAATATCGCTATTGTTGAATTCAGTGAGCATTTATGAAGCATCTTCTGCTCTAAATTGTACCGTAAAATAATCCCTCAACATTCTCATTCTAGAACATCTGGAGGGCATCAAACTGGGAAAGAAAAATCTAGAATGATTCAACTGTGTCCATTTCCACTAATCAACGACTGCCCTTGGAAGAGAGATATGCCCCAAAATGTTTAATTTCCTGATGTCAGATCATAGCAAATGATATTCAAACCACAGTCCAAATGTGGCCCTCTAGCCTTTGACCATGTTTACAGCAAGATCCCAATTTGTGACATAAAATTTAGTAACACACCACTGAAATCTTGAGGCAAGTTATTTCTCTTTCAAAACTACAACAGAAATATGTTAATGCAACCTTGCCCACACTCAGAGTCATGCAGCCAAATAGACCATTGATAAAATTTCTAGGATTTGACACCCATATTTTTGGAAGTCATCCTGCTTGGGAAGAATCCTTCAATAGACTTTACACATTTATTGTACTAAAAAGGGGATAGGGTGAGAAAATAGTCAGAAGGAAGAGGAAAAGAAAGTACATAGGATTTCTCTGAACCAAGGACAAAATTCACTGCAAAAAGAGACTTAAAATCCATCTGTTTCTTCCTGGGATCTATCATGCAAACATAATTTTATGGGTCCTATCCAGTGCATTCTACTTCTTTCTCAGAAGTCAGATTTCCTTTGCATCATTCACCTGCAGGAACGCGGTGGCTCACGTGGTTAGGATGCTGGGTTGGAGGTTAACAAGCCCAGGTTCAACACCTGAATGTTGCTGTGTGGTAAGGTGAGCTCCCATCATTCGCTCCAGCTCCTTGACAGGAACATGAAAGAAGCCCCCCATGGGTGTCCCTGGGTAACAGTGATGTCACTGGCTAATCCTTTCAACCCAAAAGCACCTTAAAGGGTGCCTCCAACACAAACAGGGAAACTCACCTGAAGGGCATATAAGACTTAAGTGGCAGACCTCTGCAGGATACTGAGCAGCATAAACGCCAGCCACGTGACCACCCATAGATGTTCCAACCAGGTAAAATGGCTTTCGATTCAGATTGATGCTTTCAACAAACTGAAAAATTAAAGGAGAGACCATGGATCAGCATCCTGCAGGTCACAACACAACAGCTGGGGCTTAACCTAAATTGCTGTCCCCCCTAATCCAAAATAGGAAGGATTAGGAAAGCTTATTTCAAATTCAGTGTGAAGGCAAACCATGACTGGATGCAGAAATTGCTTTAATCTGGGAGCTCTTTTTCAATTAAGAAAGAATTGGTATTACTGATGAAAAGCTATGCAGGATCAGGAAAAAGTAAATATCCCCAAAGAGCAAAGACTGCAAGTTTTAAAATACTGTAGCAAAATCCTGTTAACTTTTGAAATTTCAGGATGTGACTGTTTCTGGCTAGGTGGTTTTGGCTGAGAAGTTAAGCAGGTCAGGCCTAGTCTGTACTTGGATGGGAGACCTTCAGGGAACTCCAAGAACAGTGGACTAAACTGAGTAAAAAAGAAAAGCATCCTGGAAGAAAGCACGTGCAAGTCATTTCTGTACTGATGCCAGGAAAAGTACAAAAACATGTCCATAAAGTCACCAAAGGTCAGGTGTGATTTCAAGAAGGCTATTTAGTCAGGAAGACTTTTAAAAATACCATAAAGCTATTAGTATTTTCATTCTTTTGTTAAGACCAATGAGATTCCCTTCATTACTCCCATCCTCTATGGCATCTTAACCATAGATCGCTGTTATCTGTAGGGTTCAGTATGTTGTATAAAAAAAACCTGATGCTTGAAGCCAGAAGAAGGTGGACTAATGAGCCAGAAACAAGACTCACCATTCCTAGCACAGCTCTTTCCCACTCTGTGGCCCTCACAGGTACCCCATGCCACTGCATCTCACTCTCAAGTCAGAAACCAAACAATACCCTACAGAGGTTGGTGTAGGCTAGTCAGCTAGCCATTCCAGAGAGCTCAGCAGATTTTAACACAGTGGGTGTTCTGAGAAGCAGAGTTTGGGCGACAATTGGGACTTAATCCAAATTGCTGTCCTTTCCGGTCCACTGTTCAAAATAGGTGCTTCATTGTGTCCACCACATAAACATCAATCATACAATGTCCAGTTAGGGTTAGCCTCAAACTGAAATCCATAACTATCATGGTTTCATGATGACCATGTTGTAATCACCAGGATACACATCCAGCTCTGGTTAAGAAACTCCATGTGGCAGGTAAAGAGGGAAAATGCAGATTCACCCAAAACAACCAAAGCAGTGGATTTATAACTATAACTTATAGCTGATTTCCAATTAAAGGTAGCTGTGTGTGTGAAGGCCACTCTACAGAGAACACCCGGGGTGGACGACTTTGGCCCTTTAACCCTCCATCCTCAAACTCCCATGCCATCTAGTGATCTTTATTTTTTCCTTTTGTTAAAAAAAATGAAGGAACAGGTAGGAAACACAGATGCAGCATTTCTATTTGCTTATTGGTATTTTGTAGGGCAAGTAATCTATTTAAAAATAATAAATTCAAAGTGGCCCTACCCACTTTTGGAGTTTCACCATTGACAAGCAAGTGTGGTGCTCAAGTCAAGAGCCACTGTGCCTCCTGCCCCACTGCTTATAAGTATCTCCGCTCATTTTCTCTGATAATGACAGTCCTGTCCCTTAGTTGTAAGTTTGCTTGGAAGCAGCAAAAGACAGCCATTGTGGGAAATTTAAAATGGCTGCTCAGAGGCGCATCAATTTCACTGGCTCCTGCCATAGTTTCCTGGCCCAGCAGCTTCTCAAAAAAGTTGGGGCAGGCTATATAGCACTGACCTGGAGACTTGCCTTGTCCGTGCTGTTCTAATCCTTTGGAACACTCCCCATGACATCTGGAGAGTCCCCATGCTATTAATCTTCTGGAGGGCTGTCTCTTTGCTCTGGCATCTGGCTAGGACAGAAGTGAGCCCAGCAAATTGGTGGGATGCTGTGCTACTGTGATGAGAGTACAATATCTTTTGTGAGATTTTGTGAGTTTATTTTTATTTTCATGGAATATTTCTGCCTAGGATGATTATGCATAAGCTAGGTGGCCATAAAAGTTTCCTCTATAAATAAATGTCAGATACAGCTCTCTCCCAAGAGCACTGACTGACTTCCAATGTGGCATCTTAAGTAATTTACAAAGTGCTACAAGTTCTACCCGGAAGACTAATTATAGATTCTGTATGAACAGAACTGAGGTGACAGTGCTTTTGCATTGCTGACTGAAATGTATCATGTGGAAAAGCCAGAAATCAGAACTGGAGGAAGACACTGGCACACGTGTTGGAAAGAGTGACCTTCAATATTGCTCAAGTATGTAATAAACAGCAAAGATTGTTTATTTTATGACACACACAAAATAAAGCCACAATCTCCTCAGAGGAAAAATTTGACAACCCGGAGTCTGGAGTCTATGCTGTGCTTCTGCGACACTTGAACTAAACTGGGCTTTAATACAGTTAAGCTCCCTTACTCCCCAACAAAGTAGTCCAATGCATAGAGAAAGTACCAGATAAAGGAATCTGTGGTAGCCTTTTCCCCCTCAAATATAATAGAAAACACACTTTCCCATTCATTTTTAATTACTTCAAAACTGGAAGTTCTAAGAAACCACAAGACTGCAACAATGTAGGGGCAACTTCTGCACATTTTACCTGATGTATTCTTTTCACTTGTCCATATATGGAATAGTCATCAAGAGATGACCGAGTAGTACTCCCATGACCTGGCATATCAACACACATCAAGTGAAGGTTTTTTGGAAGAAACTGTGGAGAACAAGCACAAGATACTTTATATCAAAATCGAACTTAAGCAACATTCCAGTATGGCCATCATCATCATCATCATCATCATTATTATTATCCTGGTTTACACATTGTATTAAGCTACCATTTATTCAATAATGGTTTATTGCAAACAACTGTAATTGGCTGGGTTTGTATAACAAGCTAAGCCAAAATTAAGCAATCTATATGTTGGCCTAGCACAACACGAGAATCTGTCCATGGAGTTGAACAGCCTTGTTTTGACCACAGACTGGCTCAGCACAAAGAATTCTTGTAAAACAGGAAATGACAACTCTTTTCCACTATGAGGATCCATTCCAGGGTTGTGGGCCACATGTGATCCTTTAGTGTCTCCTCCTGTACAAGAGAAAGCACAGTCACAAACTCTTCATCAACCTCAAGTTCTTTCTGAGAATCCATGTGCCCAAACATATGGCAGTTTTCAAGACATATTAAATAGATTTTATGGCCCAAGAACTAAGTTGGTGTGTTTTCTTTTCCAGACTCAACATCAATAATTTATTTCCAACTCAGCAAAAACTAGTCCCATCTATAGGTATGTGGAAGAGTAGGTTCCAGTCCTAGTAGAATCAAATAACTGTGAAGTATTTGCCTTAGTAAATGGGTGAAGACAGCAAAGATATTTTGGTAGTGACCATCCTAACAAAATATCTATTATCTTAACCCTAGGGTAGATTCATACACTATTTCTGAGGATACAAACTGTTCTAACAGAAATATCTACATTTCATGTTAATTTCAGTCATCACATTGCAAGACAAGATAATTGCATGGTCCACACACTAAGCACGTTTAGTACAATAAAGATCAGCTGCACACAAACATACAAACACACACACACAAAGGACTGAAGATCCATTGTTCACGTGACACTTGAAATCCAAGATTGAATTGTTTTACCATCAGAGAAACAGAAGCATACCTTGACTATAGAAACCCACATATCTTTATCAGTCGAGAACCCGTGCAGCATGAGGACAGATGGTCTGTGGCTGGGTCTCCCTCGGTAAGAATAGCAAAACTGATAATTACCACAATGTACATATTTCACCTGCAGGCCCAGGGTTCGACGCCAATACCTAATGGAAGGAAGGAAGGAAGGAAGGAAGGAAGGAAGGAAGGAAGGAAGGAAGGAAGGAAGGAAGGAAGGAAGGAAGGAAGGAAGGAAGGAAGGGGGACAAAGGAAAAAAATTGCAGTGCAATGAATTCAATCCAAGACTAGTTTTTCCTTCTCCTCTCTTCTGCTTTCCATTAATCAAACACTATTCACTCCGTTATATGTTTATATTATATGTTGTTCAAGCAGCATAATGATTATCCTGGAATTTTTTTTTTTTAAAAAAAAGTTTAAAATAAGAAGTTGTTCATTACAAAAAAATGGTAACTTTGATGCTGAAAATTTTATAGGAATATTAAACTGTTCTAGAGATAATATAAACTTCATAAATAACAAATGAAATATATATCCAATGTAGCTGAATGGTAAGAATAGACACTGGACCACAGAGTGTGTAGCCGATGGACAAATGATCTGCCTGGGTAGTCCCTGGATGCTTCTGTATGTGGAGTCTTCTATGCCTTCCTTTCTAGATTTCTAGCTTTCTCTGCCTGCCAGTTGTTCTTCAGCCTTGACTTCTGCTTACAGTTCACTTCCTGGATTCAGTCGTGCCTATGGCTCATTACTAGTATGCTGGTATTCACAACCTGCAACCCCAAGGTTGACTAAAAGAGTAGGTAGGTCAAAAAAACCAAGATGGGGGTCATGGCCACATTATTGTAGCCCTGCCCTCTTTATATGTGCATTTTGCAATGTGGTGTGTGTAAAAAACTATACAAGGCTTTAATCACACAGTCACATGTGCTATCGTGGCTTTTTAAAACTCCGAGCCATCTTCACACTTCGCCTTCCATTCCTTTCTGCAGTGGATGAGGAAAACAAAGAACAAAAAAGGCAAGATAATGTGTTGCATTACCCTGGACTGAATGCAGACTTGGTGTTCTAAAATTAGGCCCATTGAAATTGGAGAGATACAGATTAATCATGTCCAACTTAAGTCTATTAATTTCAATAAATTTACTCTAGATATTATTAAGTCTGGATCCAACACAGTACTGGGGGTTAGCAACACATTCACAATGAAGCTATCCAATTTTCCAGATAGCCGTATTCCAGAGAATGTGTTCATTTTGAGCTGTTTGGCTTTTCTGATGGAAGAGCAGAAAATCATCTGTGCACTAACCAGCAATGGAGAAAAAAAAGACAAAAAGCTATTGATGATATATAACTCAACAAGAATTGTTCAAAAGGGAAGATTCAACCAGGCACAAGAGAATCCTACAATAATCACCGCAGCATTTTACTGATAGGAGCTGCATATGTGAGAAGAAAAACTGATTCCCATGTTTCCATTCCACAGAAGACTGCCTTTTTTTTCCCTTAGGGACACCTCCTTCATTTTCCCTCTCATGGTCCTTCCTCAATAATTCTCCTTTTGCTAAGATCATCAAAGATGATATTCTTATCCCACCTAACTTTTATTTATGCTTAATCATTTAATGTAGTTTTTGGATGACACTGTTTAGTAAAGTATTTGTCCCCATTGAAAAAATAAGCTTCTGACATCTTTACTCACAGGGATCTAGTTTCCTAAATCAGGCAAAGTAACCTAGGTAATAATCTACTGCCTAGCAACCAAAATAAATACATGCCTTGGTACTTAGATACATGCTGTTAAGAGAATTCTGCATTATATTAACTGAGCATTAACAGTAACAATAATTTTGCAGGAGATTCTAGCACCCAACTTTGTCTATTATGCATGGAAACAGGTAAAGGAGTCACTGCAGATTTTACTCCATTAGTCGTTGCCGAATCTAGGGGGCGATGCTCATCTCCGTTTCAAGGCCACTGAGCCAGCACTCTCCGATGACATTTCTATGGTCATCTGGCCAGGTGGTATGTTTTTATCTACTGACATTTGCTTTTGAACTGGGCAGGAGCTGGAGCATGAACGGGAGCTCACCCCATTGCGTGGTGCTCAGATCTCAAACCCGAGCTACCAGCTTTCCAGCTGACAAGCCCAGTGTCTTTAACCTCTGAGCTACTGAGCCACCCATGCATACAGGCCTAATTGTAAAATAATTGCCCACCCGTCTTCAGATAAACTACAGCTGAGTGGAAGAATGCTATTCTGCTTGGCAAGGATGCTTCATTTAATCCCCAACAACTTATGATAAAAGGATTTTAGGTCAGATGATAGAGGAGACCTCTGTCTGAAATTCTTGAATATTACTGGCTTATCACAATAACATGGACCATTAAATGATCACAACACCTAACCTTATATAAGGCATCTTCCTGCAATGGTATTTTACAGAGATGGACTCTCTGGAAAGCAATGGCTGCATGTCACTGATTATCTTATGTTGTTTGTTTATATTCTGCCTTTATTATTTTTATAAACAACTTAACGCAAAAAATTACTCCTTCCACCTCCCATTTTCCCCACAACAATAACCGTTGGACTGAGAAAGAATGACTGGCCCAAAGATACCCAGCTGATGTTAGACAGAAAGTCGTGTTTTATCATCATGCCTAGAGGAAACAGCCTTTAGGTGAATCTATGTATCAGACTTCATCAGGAATACTATCTAATTAGGTTAGGTTCAACATCCAGGTAATTGGTACCTTACAATAATATTTCTCAATCTCAGCCATTTTAAATATGTTTAATTTAATCCCCAGTCCTGCCCAGCCAGTGAGAACTCCACACATCTTAAAGTTGTGAAACAGTATCTTTTAATATTCTTTGATGAACAGATTGGAGGATAAAGGGTTTAATATTTAATGTTTACACTAGATTCTCTTACTTCTTCCTACTGCAGAACCATCATGCTATATTGGGCACAGTTCAGCAATGCCCAGTTTTTAGAATCTGCAATGTCAAGAAAGCAGGTACAAAACAAGGTGGAAAGCAAGAAGACTCTTTGAAAGAAATATGACTTTGTTCATTCTAATTAAGCAAATTACAACAGGTTATGAATTTGTTCTGTAAAAGAACAGAAACTGAAGTTATCATGCCAAGCAAAATGAAAAGCTTACCAGTAATATATTTTGATCAGTGCTGAAGGCCACAGGAGGAAGGACGCCACAAAAGCCAAAATGGGAATAGCCAAAGTGCCTCCGGCTATTACAAACATGTTTAACACATCAAGATCCATCTTGCCTTCTTTGCAGTTCTGCTTTCTTCACCTGCATGGATAAAAGAAGTAGAAATATAAGTCTCAAAGTAGCCAAGCAACAAATGCCTGAAGACAAAGTTGTAGAACAGATATTGTACAGGATCTCAGACAACAGAGCCAAACTATCTGTTCTCTTTTTCAAATGTTCCAGGATAACAATATTTTCCTTGAGTTAAATTTCAGAACCAAAAATAAAGGAGATGACTGAGTAAAGGGGGACATCTACAGGGAAATGTCTATAGGAGAGATAGTATGACCAATGGGCACTCAATCACAAAATCAACCTGGACAGAGGGTAATCTGAAATCCATATTGATTCGACTTTGGAGGCAGGATTCAGCAGAATCCAAAGCACAACTAATGAAGAGACTAGGAGACTACCCTAAAAAAATTAGTCCTGCAAACCACCAAATAAAACATTAAATTATTCAAGTTTGGTTTACTTATATCTGTTCAATTACTAATTAAAGACCATACAATAGGTGGCTAAGTTCTATTTCTGATTTACATCTACACAATGAATTTCAATGCACAGCAAACTCTAAAAACTATCAGTGCAATATTGACCACAGATCATTTGCAAAACACACTAATTTACTCTTTCAGACCACCATCTCTGAGTTATTAAATATGCTAAAGAAGCCTGTCTCTAACCTAAGATCCCATAATACCGTGGTGGTGAACCTATGGCACGTGTGCCAGAGGCAGCACTTGGAGCCCTCTCTGTGGGCACACGTGCCATTGCCCCAGCCTTGCCTCCTCCCGTGACCCCTTCCTCACCAGCAGCCCCCCTGGAGGAGAGTCGCCCCTGAGCGTGGCCCACATGGAGCAGTGCAGCCAAGGATATGGCAGCCAGGCAGTGTAGACAAGACTCTGCCCTCACACCCCATCATGCACAGTTGATGCTGTGGGGCGCGGGCAGAGGGCATGGCCGCAATGGTGCTGTTGGGCTTCCTGGGCGATCTGCAGCAGGCCCTGGAGGCGGTGAGTGGCCCTGCAGATAGGCAAGGTGGAGGCAGGGCAGAGAGTGGAGCAGGGGCGGGGCCAGTTTTTGGGCACTCGGTATCTAAAAGGTTCAGCATCACTGCCATAATATATGCCCACTGAGGCATTCAGTATTTAAACAAAAGCCAAAGTGCAATTTGATGAATTAAACCCAGTTACCACATATAAACAGATGATCAATTAAGAGAGTGAATTGACAAACACAGATAATGTACACTGGAATTTTATCTCGCTGGTTCCACAAAAGCATTCACAGAAACAACGGATTGGGTTTCTCTTGGAAAAGGAGAGGGAAATGGCCAGATCCTTAGTTCTGAGAGAGCCTCTTCTTGGCTGCAAAGACAGAGGCATACAAAATTGCTTCTCCAGAGAAGTATCTTAAAAAGCTAACAGAGAAACAGGAGAAGACGAAAGATGTACCTTAACTTGATTCACACAATTGTGAGAAATTGTTTTTTAGATTAATGCAAGCCTTTCAAGAGTGTCTCCCTAGAGTCGTGGGCAAATTCTAAAGAGTTGGGGACTGTCTTGGCTTCAATGACCTTCTAAAGGCCATAGGAGGTCTCCCAAAATCATTATATTGTCTCCATAAAAAAATGGAGGGACAGTTCATTTTCAGGGATGAAGAATGTAAAATGGAAGTGAAGGCCTCATTTTGCTTCTTGTACTATAACCACCTAGAAGATAGCTTTTCAGCATTGATTCAAATGGAGGTTTGAGTTCATTCTTTCTCTCCCTAGAAAGAACAGAATAAAATAGTTGAAAGGGGCCTTGGAGGTCTTCTAGTCTTTGCAAGCAGGAGACTCTATACCATTTCAAATAACTGCTTCTCCAATCTTTTCTTAAAAACCTCCAGTGATGGAGCAGCCTCAATTTTAGCATTTATGTATCATATTAACAAAATGGGGATTTTTAAGAATGCCCATGATAAATATACATCAATATGATAAATCTTCAGTCAGTTAAAAATACAATACAGTGGAAACTAATAGAAAAAAAATACAGATGGTGAGAGTCAGGAAGAGATTAAGGAAGTAAGATAACCATATAGGCAAAAATAGCTGGGTCTGAGAAAGAAAGAGGAAAGTCATAAAATGGATAAATAATTGTTTTTAAAGGAAATGGCTAGCCAGGAAGTATAGGAAAGTAGGAAACCATGCCAAATAAGATAAGAAGAGAGGAATGGAGAGCAGGAAAAGAGCTTATTGTGGAGACATAAATATATATATTGAGTTTAAAAATAACCATAGGAAAATAATTTTTCTTATTCTTATTGTATAAGTGAATATGATTTAGTATGTTATCAGGAAATGTGTATAGGCGGACGGAAAGAGTGTAACCTCATACTACCTCAGCCAATGGGGAAAGAGGAGGGCTGTAGCGGCCGGTGAGAGGGATGAATAAAAGAAGGAGATATTTTGGGTTAAAACTTTGGAGAGAACCAAGCTTTGAAAGCTTCTCTCCCCGCTTATTGCAATAAACGAAACAAAAGGCCTTCACTGTGTCTTGGCTGGTTATTGGTCAGGCGAGCTTGCCTCTGGTCACGAAGGAAAGTAGCCAGGAGCACATAACAGCCTTGGGGGCTCCTCCGGGATTTGCATCCGTTCCATCTTTGGCAGCCGGGGATATTCGAAAGGGGAGTGCGCACCTGGGTAAGTTTTTCCCAGCCCTAAAGGTCGGATTGCCCCTGCTCAAACAAGGAGGAATTGGAGATCCCGAGATAAAAGCCAGGACCCAGTGAAAACCTAAGGGAAAGTCGGCCGACCTAAGGAAGGACTTCAGCTCAGCCTGACAGGTAAGATACCAGAGAGGTATCTGTATATCAGAGAGGTGTTAATGGGCAATAAGAGTTTGAAGAGGAGGGACGCCTCCGGCCAATGTGCCGGCCAACAAAGAAAAAAAAAAGAGGAAAGGTATTTACATTCTGGAATGAACCCCCTTAGGGAGATGGGAATCCTTTAGGGAGAATGTTGAAGTGTTTTAAGTCAATGCTTTAAACAAGGCATTTGAACAAAGGAAGGATGATACATTACAGTATATATTTGGCCTAAGTACATGTTTGGCCAGCCAATAAATTAAATTGGGCTTCTCAGCTTAGCTTAGAGCGATGGGGAATGGATAGGCAGTGGTTAAAGTCTATCAGAAACGCTCCTTGCATTTCCCCATTGCCTAGAGAACAAGCTACAAGTGCCCTAAAAGAGTAAAAGTAGAAAGGTCTGGAAATTATGTTTAATGGTCTGTGTGTTTGGGGATTGTATTGACTCATTTCTAAAGACCTGGGGGAGGGGAGGGAGAGACCCTCTAACAGTAATATACAAAACAACAAGGTCTTATTCCAAAAGGGAAATTTGGGAAAAAAAGCTTCTTGAAAATAAGAATGATTATTTTGCCTGGGGTGAAGCATTTGGAATTTTTTGTGTCTGGTGTAAAAGCAAGAAAGGGTGAAGAAGGGTAGTTTCTTAGTAATTAGAAGGATAATGGAAGGTGTTAAAAGAATGGAAATAATCAGATGGAAGAGAGGGAAAGAGAGAGAGAGAGAAAGAAAGGAGCTGTGTGAAGTTTTATGCCTGGCCAGGATGAAAAGCGAGATCTCTGATCCGCTATTTTTGTGTGAAAGAGTTAAGTAGAAAGCTATGTATTTCATGAGGTTCCTATAGTTTGGAAGGTGACAAGAGAGGAGAAAACCTCTCTCCAAAGGGGGGGGATTGTCCCCCCTAACAGCTTTTGAAATCAGGCAATCTAGGAAAGAATTGCCCAAACTAATAGAAGATTCTATTGAAGTAGGAAAACAAGTTAGAAATTTTTTTAGGACCAATGGAAAGCATGGGAAGGTATTAGGGTACAAATGCAGAAATTAGACAGATGGAAAACTAAAACAATAGAAGATTTATTAACGGTAAAAGAGGCTCAGAAAGTATATGCGAAGTGAGGAGAGAGATAAACGTAAGATAAGATAAAAATCATGGCTCAATTATTGCAAACAGGCCAGCAAAGAGGAAGAGTAATTAGGAAAGGCAGGCTGGGGGTGAGGACAGCCAGTTGGCACCAGGGGATATAAATCTCTAGGAGAAAAAAAAATTTCCCCAGTCCTTAAATAAATAAATAAATGTGCCTTTTGTAAGGAGGAAGGACACTGGGAAAATGAGTACGGTAGCTTAAGAGGAAGGAGGGGGAAGAACTAGCACATTTGGTGAACTTTGAAGATTAGGGGAGTCAGGGGACAAAACTGTTTTTGGGTCCAGCTTTCCAGGAACCCGTGATAACTTTGAAAGTTGGACCAGAGAATGAAGACATTTTGTTTTTGGTTGATTCTGGAGCCACCAGATCCACACTGAACTTCATACCAAAAGGGTTGAAAATTGGACAAGGAAAAATTAGGGCACAAGGCATAGGTGGGCATATAGTGGAAGCTAGAATTTTTGAACCCACTATAGTTAAGTCTCAAGAAAAAGAGCCTAGGGTATGGTGTGATTTTGTATTGGTTGAAGGGAGCTGTAATTTGGTTGGAAGGGATTTAATTGGTAAATTGGGGGTTGTTATTATGGGGAATGAAAGGGAAATAATAGTAAACATTATGGCCTTAAGTGAGGAGGCTCAAAGAAAAGTGAACCCCTCAGTTTGGGCCAAGGAGGGGAATAGGGGAAGGGTTCAAATTAAACCCTTAAAAGTAACTCTTAAATAACCAGGAGAAGCTGTACATCAGAAACAGTATAACATTACATTGGAAGGAAGAATGGGTTTAAAACCCATGGTGGAAGGGCTATTGAAGGGGGGTGAAATTTTTGAGCAATCCTTTTAAACATGTTTAGTTTGTTACTTTTTTTAACCCAAGAATTTCTGCCTTGGAAAAGTAAGAGATGCAAGAAGAAGAAAGAAGAAGAAAAAAAGGGGGGGGCAGTTTCTGTCTGCATGTTTGTTTGTGTGTATGTGTGTTTTTTTTTTTTTAAGAACAGAAAATGGGTAAAATTTCATGACTGTAAGGATAATTAATCAGTGGGATAATTG